CCACGAAGTTTCAATCACACTGTACGTGCCGCGCCGCACGTGGCATTTTGTGAAGAGCCACACTCAGGGGCGCAGTTTGCCGACCACTGGCCTTGGGGCCTACAGGAAACACCAACAAGGGTGAGCCATGTAAACTCCCGGTGTTTTACCTTCCACAAGAATCGACTAAGTCGTGTTAAGACTCTGATCTCTGCCCTCGCCTGTTTGATTCAGTGGGTAGAGCGTCGGTTTGATTCTGAAGGGTCCCGGGTTTGATTCTGGTCAAGGGCACATGCCTGATTGCGGGCTCGATCCCCAGTCGGGGGTGTGCAGGAGGCAGCTAATCAATGATTCCCTCTCATCATTGATGTTTCTATTTCCCTCTCCCTTCCTCTCTGAAATCAATTAAAAAAAAAAAAAGACTGATCTCCAAAATTTGTGCTGAGTCTAGGTTTGGGTACCGCATTGGTCCTCATCATAGCGAGTCAGCATTCACCGACTGAGCAGGAACATGGAAAAAGGCGTGTTTATAAATATTTCCTCAGCTTCAGTCACATCTCCCTCTATTAACGGTAAGATGGGTGACTCAGCAGATTTCATTCTCACTTAACCCCAATCCTTAGGGTTAGGGTTAGAGTTTAGGGTTAGGGTTAGAGTTTAGAGTTTACATTAGGGTTAGGGTTAGGACTAGGGTTAGAGTTTAGGGTTAGGTTTAAGGTTAGAGTTTAGGTTTAGGGTTAGGGTTAGAGTTCGGGTTTTGGGTTGGGTTTAGGGTTAGGGTTTAGGGTTAGAGTGTAGGGTTAGGGTCAGGGTTATGGGTTAAGTTTATCGGTGCATTGTTTTCAAAAGTAAAGCAAACACCATTTTCCCAATTGATTTGAAAGAGAGCGGAAGGGAGAGGGAGTCAAGCATCCATGTGAGAGAGAAACATAGATCGGCTGCCTCCTGCACGTCCGTACGGGGTCCCAGCGGTAAACCTGAGCACGTGCCCTGACTGGGCACTGAATAGTGACCTTTTAGATGCACGGGACACGCCCCCCCAGCCAGGGTGCCAACTCCATTATGATGTAGAATCGCTAAATCCTGGCTGTGGGAAGTGATGGCGACTAGTGCAGACAGTGCGGAGTGTGTCCTCACCCGGGACGGCTCGTATGGCCTTGGGGAGTTGCTTTGTGCTTCTGAACTTAACCTCCCGAAGAGGACGGGGCTAAAACAAGATAAGGCGTGCGCCTGGTCCTGGGCCTGCTGGCAGGCCTCATACATGGGCTGTGGCGGGCTGGGAGGCCGAGGAGGGGGACTGCACGAGGGACCACATGGCCTCAGCATCCCAACCGCCCCAGTGCCTGGTGCAGATCCCTCCAAACTCAGAGCATCGTCCCCAGAGGTGGTCCTCCTCGTGGCTGCCGCTCTCTTCCATTCGTTTGTATTTTGTGGAGGGCTTAGCCCTCTTCTTAGCTCTAATTGTCTCCCCGATAAGCAAGCACCAAGAAGCCAGAGGGTGTTGGAGGGCGGGGATGGCAGCCATTTTCCTTCTCAGCTGCCTCTCTGCCGGACACAGGAAAACTCAGGCTGCGTCCCCGGTCCTGAAGAAGCCGGCGACACCATGAAAAGAAGCATGTTTCCTCGAGGGCAGGCGATGTCACTGGCTTTGGAGCTGCCTAACCTGCCGTAGATGGAAGGTCTGACTATACAGCGGGGCGATGATACAGCATTTCAACCATTTAAATCAGGCTTAGGGTCTGCTAAGGACACAAGTTGCAGGCCTCCACATGGGCGGGGCACAGTACTTGCTTTTGTTTCTGGCGTCAATCATAAAAGGATTATTTGCGTAAAGGAAAATACCTTCTTAAACCAGTTCAGAAAGGATTTCGTTAAGAGTGGGACAAAGCGGGTGCTTTTGTGTTGCCCAGCAGGGGCGCTTCTGACATTTTGTGGGGGACAGTCCTTCCTCTGGGCTTGAGTGTCCCAGTCCTCCCGTGGTTGCCAGCAGGGCCCCCCAATCACTGTGACCACCAAACCACTTACCTGGCCCCCGTCTGGGGCGCCCACACCTGTCCACTGACCATGGAGCAGGTCGGGGTGGGGTGGGGGAGACCGGTGCATCAGCAGAACCTGCAGCGGGAGGGAGAGCCGGCATTGCCATGGCTTCCAAGCACGTGGCAGAGAGCGGAGAGAGAGGTTCTGTGGAAACGCAGGCGCTCCCCAGGCCGGGGCGCCCGTGGCTGCAGCTGAATGAGCAGCATGTGTGTGTGTTTCATGTCGGAAGTTCCAGCAGAAAATGGACATGTGGGGCATCGGGACGTGACTACAGTGGTTAACCGGCTTCATTACTGCCCTCACAATGTAACATGGTTTTCATGTTCTTTATTATTCTGTAAAAGGTAACAAAATATACAGAACAAGGTTTTCCCTTTTTAACTAATGTTACAAACCCATATTATTGCTTATATATAAATATTATATTCTATAGCTGATCATCATTAATCAGGTGTGTGAGCCCAACCATGGAGCCTCTAACTGTTAAACCAGGAGTTTATCTAAGCGTGTGTCCTCCTGTGCTGTTTATCCGGAATGAGCGAGGACGCTGCTGCCCGAGGAAGTCATGCAGCATCGGTGAGTGCTTTCGACCAGTTTTCAAGCCTCAAAAACATAAATACAGAGATGCATCCTTCACAGAAATCAAGT